GGACTGGGAGGGACTGGGAGGGGGTTAAAGGGGAAAAAAAGGGGGAAAAATGGGGAAAAATGGGGGAAAAATGGGAAAAATTAAGAAAAAATGGCATTTAAAGGGTTAAAAATGGGAGAGAAAGGGTTAAAAATGGGTAAAATGGGGATTTGGGGTTACTGGTTTATACTGGGAGGGACTGGGAACAAACTGGGAGATACTGGGAGGGGGTTAAAGGGGAAAAATGGGGAAAAATGGTTAAAAATGGGTTAAAAATGGGATTTGGGCTTACTGGTTTATACTGGTTTATACTGGGAGGGGACTGGTTTATACTGGGAGGGGGTTAAAGGGGAAAAAATGGGGGAAAATGGGGAAAAAATGGGATTGAAGGGGTTAAAAATGGAGAAAAATGGGGATTTAGGGTTACTTGTTTATACTGGTTTATACTGGGAGGGGACTGGAAGGGACTGGGAAGGGGATAAAGGGGAAAAAACGGGGAAAAATGGGGAAAAACTGGGTTAAAAATGGCAATTAAAGGGTTAAAAATGGGGAAAATAGGAAGTGGGGTTACTGGTTTATACTGGGAGGGACTGGGAGGGACTGGGAGGGGGTTAAAGGGGAAAAAACGGGGGGAAAATGGGGGAAAAATGGGATTGAAGGGGTTAAAAATGGAGGAAAATGGGGAAAAATGGGGGTCCACGGTTACTGGTTTATACTGGTTTGTACTGGGAGGGGGTTAAAGGGGAAAAAACGGGGGAGAAATGGGGAAAAATGGGGTAAAAATGCAGAAAAATGGGATTTAAAGGGTTAAAAATGGGTTCAAAAGGGGTTAAAAATGGGAGTTAGGGTTACTGGTTTATACTGGGAGGGACTGGGAACAAACTGGGAGGGACTGGGTTATACTGGGAGGGACTGGGAGGGGGTTAGAGGGGAAAAAACGGGGGAAAAATGGGGAAAAATGGGGAAAAAATGGCAATTAAAGGGTTAAAAATGGGTTCAAAAGGGGCTCAAAGGGGATTGGGGGTTACTGGTTTATACTGGGAGGGACTGGGAACAAACTGGGAGGGACTGGTTTATACTGGGAGGGACTGGGATATACTGGGAGGGGGTTAAAGGGGAAAAAACGGGGGAAAAATTGGGAAAAATGGGGGAAAATGAAGAAAAAATGGGAGAGAAAGGGTTAAAAATGGGGAAAAGGGTGTTTAGGGTTACTGGTTTATACTGGGAGCAAACTGGGAGGGACTGGGTTATACTGGGAGGGCACTGGCAGGGACTGGGGTATACTGGGATATACTGGGAGGGACTGGGAGGGGGTTGAAGGAGAAAAAAATGGGGATAAAAGAGATAAAAATGGCATTTTAAGGGCTAAGAATGGTTTCAAAAGGGGTTCAAAGGGGATTGGGGGTTACTGGTTTATACTGGGATATACTGGGTTATACTGGGAGGGACTGGGAGGGGGTTAAAGGGGAAAAAACAGGGGAAAAATGGGGAAAAATGGGAGAGAAAGGGTTAAAAATGGGATCAAAAAGGGTTAAAAAAGGGATTTGGGGTTACTGGTTTATACTGGGAGGGACTGATTTATACTGGTTTATACTGGTTTATACTGGGAGGGGATTAAAGGGGAAAAAATGGGGAAAAAATGGGGGGAAAATGGTTAAAAACGGGTTAAAATGGCAATTAAAGGGTTAAAAGTGGGATGGAAATGGGGGAAAGTGGAGAAAAAATGGGAATTGGGGTTACTGGTTTATACTGGGTTATACTGGGAGGGACTGGGATATACTTGGAGGGGGTTAAAGGGGAAAAAATGGGGAAAAAATGGGGAAAAAGTGGTTAAAATGGCAAAAAAGGGTTAAAAATGGGCTGGAAATGGGGAAAAAAGGATTTGGGGTTACTGGTTTATACTGGGAGGGGGTTAAAGGGGAAAAATCGGGGGAAAATGGGGGAAAAACGGGTTAAAAATGGCAATTAAAGGGTTAAAAATGGGATCAAAAAGGGTTAAAAAAGGGATTTGGGGTTATCGGTTTATACTGGGAGGGACTGGGAGGGGGTTAAAGGGGAAAAAATGGGGGAAAAATGGGAACAAAAAGGGAAAAAATGGGAGAGAAAGGGTTAAAAATGGGATTGAAGGGGTTAAAAATGGGAGTTAGGCTTACTGGTTTATACTGGGAGGGACTGGGATGGACTGGGAACAAACTGGGAGGGGGTTAAAGGGGAAAAAACGGGGGAAAAATGGGGGAAAAAGTGTTAAAAATGGGTTAAAAATGGGATTGAAGGGGTTAAAAATGGGTTCAAAAGGGGTTAAAATGGGATTTGGGGTTACTGGTTTATACTGGGAGGGACTGGGAACGAACTGGGAGGGACTGGGTTATACTGGTTTATACTGGGAGGGGGTTAAAGGGAAAAAAATGGGGATAAAACAGATAAAAATGGCAATTAAAGGGTTAAAAATGGGATTTAAAGGGTTAAAAATGGGGAACAATGGTAATTGGGGTTACTGGTTTATACTGGTTTATACTGGGAGGGGGTTAAAGAGGAAAAAACGGGGGAAAAATGGGTTAAAAGGGCAATTAAAGGGTTAAAAATGGGGAGAAAAGGGTTAAAA